GAGTAAACTGCCACCTACACTAACCAAGAAAAAAAGAGGGAAGATTCAAATAAAGAAAATCAGAAATGAAAAAGGTGACATAGCAACAGATGCCACAGAAATAGAAAGAATCATTAGAGATATAATGTTTTAAACAACTGTATGCTAATAAATTAGAACACCTAGAGGATATGAATAAATTCCTTATGCATATAACCCACCAAGTTTGAACTAGAAAGAAACAGAAAACCTGAACATACCAACGACAGGTAATGAGATTGAATCAGTAATAATAATAATAAAAATTCCCATCAAAGAAAAGCCCAGGACCAGATGACTTTACTGCTAAATTGTACCAAAATTATAAAGAACTAATATCAGTTCTTTTCAACCTATTCCAAAATGTGGAAGAAGAGGGAATTCTTCCTAATTTATTCTATGAAACCAGCAGTATCTTGATACCAAAACCAGATAAGGATAAGGTGGAAAAAAGAAAACAGCAGGCCAGTATCTCTGATGAACATAAATGCAAAATCCTCAACACAGTACTATCAAACAAATTTCAGAAACACATCAGAGAGATAATACATAATGATCAAGTGAAATTTATTGTTGGGGTATGAGGATGGTTCAGCAGTAAGCATGGTACAACACATCAACAGAATGAAGGACAAAAACCATATGATCATATCAATAGATGCAGAAAAAGCATTTGCTAAAATTCTACTTTTCTACATGACAAAACCTCTCAATAAATTATGCATAGAAAGAATATATTTCTACGTAATAAAGTCCACATACAGCAAACCCAAAGCTGACATCATACTGAATGGAGAAAAGAGGAAAGCCTTTTCTTTAAGAACGGAAGAAGGCAAGGATGCCCACTTTGACCATTCTTATTTCACAGAGTACTAGAAGTTCTAACCAGAGCAGTCAGGCAAGAAAAGGAACTAAAAGACACCCAAATCAGAAAAGAGGAAGTAAGATTGTTCCCTCTTTGCAGATGGCATGATTTTATATAGAGAAAAACCTTAAGAGTTCACCAAGAAAACTCTTAGAACTTATAAAGAAATTGAGTAAAGCTTCAAGACACAAAGTCAACATATTAAAATCAGTAGCATTTTTATACACCAATAATGAACTAACTGAAAAAGAAATCAAGGAATCAGTCTTATTTACAATAGCTTAAAAAAATACTGATGAATAAATTTAACCAAGATCTGTGCAAGGAAAACTACAAAACATTGATGAAAGAAATTGAAGATAACATCAAAAAAATGGAAAAATATTTCCTGCTCATGGACTGAACAAAATCATATTGTTAAAATGACAATACTATCTGATATGGTTTGGCTGTGTCCCACCCAAATATCGTCTTGAATTGTAGTTCCCACAATTCCCATGTGTCATGGGAGGGACCCAGTGTGAGGTAATTGAATCATGGGGTCAGTTTCCCCCATACACTTCTCAGGGTAGTGAATAAGTCTCACAAGACCTGATGGTTTTGTAAAGGGAACCCCTTTTGCTTGGCTTGCATTCTCTCGTCTGCCACCATGTCAGACATGCCTTTCACCTTCCACCGTGATTGCGAAGGCTCCCCAGCCACGTGGAACTGTAAGTCCATCAAACCTCTTTTTCTTTATAAATTACCCCAGTCTCAGGTATATTTTTATCAGCAGTGTGAAAACAGACTAATACAATCTATAAATTTAATGTAATCATTATACCAATGACATTTTTCAAAAAGGAAAGGAAGTCAATCAATGGGATAACTGTACCCCCATGTTTACTGCAATACTATTTACAGTAGCCAAGTTATGGTATCAACCTAAGAATCCATCAACAGATGAATGGATAAAGAGAAGGTGGTGTATGTATACAATTGAATACTATTTAGCCATAAAAAATAATGGAATTTTGTCACTTGCAGCAAATGGGTGAAACTAGAGGTCATTATGTTAAGTGAAATAAGCCAAACAGAAAGACAAATACCACATTCTTACTCATATGTGGAAGCTTAAAATATTGATCTCACGGAGATAGAAAATAGAATGATAGTTACCAGAGCCTGGGAAAGATCTATGGGAATAGAGAGAAGTTGGTTAATGGGTACAAACATGTAGAGAGATGAAATAACTTTTAGTGTTTGATAGCACAGCAGGTTAAATATAGTTAACAACAATATATTGTCTATTTCAAAATAGCTAGAAGAGAAGATATTAAATGTTTCCAACACAAAGGAATGATGTGTTCAAGGTGATGTATATTTTAAATACCCTGATTTGATCATACTTGTATCAAAATATCTCATGTATCCTATAAATATGTATAATTATCTTGTACCAATAAAACATGTTTCTAAACCTTCAGTGGTTCCCAATTGCCTGTAGCAGCAGTTTGCAATTGTTTTCCCTTTTATGACAAGCAAGCGTGATAGATGATAGATACTGTTTGTCTACTGTTCATCTGAGCATCCATTCACATCCACTGCTATGCTTAAAATTATTTGCAAATTCAGGCATGCCAGCTGTAATTCTGCCTACCTTCTCTCCAAATCAGGAAGGCATACCACAATACATGAGTGACAATGACATTTTCATATGCTCTCAAATATTTCAAAAGCAAATTATTCCTTGACACTGTGCTTTATTGCTGCTAATAAAGCACGTGTAACGTGCCTCGAAATTATCAGTAGAGGTCAAGATACCACAGCTACACACTGTATTGTCATTGTTAAATCCAGACTCTTTTAGGTGGTATCAGTACATTTTCCAGTCTAAACCAGATCTCAGGATCAGCTAATCCAGTCCCCAGCACCCCATTCCACCGGGCGTACACACATATCCTTTCCAGATTATTTTTGAAAATCTTAAAATACATTCTGCAGTTATAAACATCCTCACTTTTATTCTTTTTGACCAAAATATTCTCTGCTTACTTCTACACTTGATGAACCCCACCTCACCTTTAAGTGCAATCATAAATGTTTGTTTCCATGGAAACCTTTTAAGTAGGCCTTAATCCTATCCTATTCCAGCCCAAATGTGGGGAAGGATTCTGAGCCCTCTCACGTATTCCTGTACTACTTTGTGTCATAAGTATTGGGTTCCTGGGTTTTTTAAACATTTTATTCTGTCACCTTCCTATCCTATTATAGCCCTATTATATCTTATATTATATCATATTATGTTATATTTACCAAGGCCAAAAACCATGTTTTATTCCTTTGCATTCCCAGATTCTAGCATAGCATCTTACCTAGAAAGTACGCTTAGGGAATAGTTGTTGAAGATGCTTCAGCAAAAAAAAAAAAGAAAAAAGAAAAAAAAAGAAAGAAAAGAAAGAAAATGCTTCAGCAAAGGTTGTCCTAATCTGGGCATCCTATTAATTGTGCTATGTTTTGTTAATTTTTATTAAAGAAAAAATTAAATATACAAAGTTTAAAATATTTTGGATGAAAGATACTTTTTCTTTTCTATAGTTGACAGAATTATTTAAAAGTGCTTGTTCTCACACAAGCATCCTCTCAAGTTTTCATAGCTGATCATATAAGCTTTGAGCTTCCCTTTCTGCCCCCAGTCTTTAATGTCTGTCTTTGAGGATTTCACTTTATGTTACCACATGCTTCAGACGGTGGCAAGGAGAAATGAGACTCAAATTGCTGCCTTTCTTTTCAGAATCTTTGTTGAAGTATTTGGGAGGGAAAGAATATTAACGCTGACACAATAGCTTTCACAGTGATCTTCATAACTCTATATCCTCAATCAGTATGGATATATACATTGTACCCTTTATTGTTGAAGTATTTGGGAGGGAAAGAATATTAACGCTGACACAGTAGCTTTCACAGTGATCTTCATAACTCTATATCCTCAATTAGTATAGATATATACACCCCTTTATTCGTGAGCATGTTTATAAAAGCGATTAACACAAATGAGGCTGGCCACGGTGGCTCACACCTATAATCCCCACACTTTGGGAGGCTGAAGCAGGAGGATCACTTGAGCCCAGGAACTGGAAACCGTCCTGGACAACACAGTGAGATGCCGTCTCTAGAATAAATTGTTTTCTTAAGTTAACTGGGCATAGTGATGCACACCTGTTGTCCCAGCTACTCAGGAGACTGAGGCAGGAGGATTTCTTGAGCTCAGCAGGTTGAGGCTGCAGGGAGCTGTGATGGTGCTACTGCCTGGGAGACAGAGTGAGACCCTGTCTCAAAACACCTACACACACAAACCGAGATATTCTCTGAAGACAGATGTATTCTGATAAGAAATAAGAATAATTTGGAAACCATTCAGTCACAGAGTTTCTGTCATGTTTTTCTTCTCTCATTTTAGGAAACAAAATATGAAGAGTGAGAGTCCTATTCTTATAGTATCACTATAAGAAGTAAGGAGGATGAAATCAATAACTTAGTTCTTTGTAACAAGGAATAATCAACGGATGATTTCTTATGGGAGCTGTTTAATATTGATTATCCAGAATTTACTCAGGACATGATAGATATAGATACATAGATACATAGATAGATAGATAGATGATTAGATAGATAGATAGATAGATAGATGGATAGATAGATAGATAGATAAAGAGAGAGACATAAGAACACAGAGTTCCAGGCTTATTGCCCATTCTTCCTATTCACAAAAAGCTTTGTATTAAAATGCCATCTATGTTGTCATATTTTCTAAAGAGATTAAAGTAAGAATCTTGTCAAGAAAAAGGCCGTCTCAAATTTACCCTTTAATGACTTGAGTTAGCTGGCTTTACAGGCATCTTATCAAAAGGAAAAGAAAACAGCCCTAATACAAGTTCCCAGTCACTCCATTTTATCACTCAGAAGGCTACTTGGAATGTGCATGTGGTATGACTTATGTAGAGCATGGCTTGATTGTCTTCCTTTTATTTCTTTGCGTCTAGTGATGTTATCGCATGAGCTTCTTATAACTATTGTGAATCCTCATGAGGCAATCGACCTTTCTTTTTTACACTAAATCTGTGGATGTATCTTTTAGATTTCCACATGGAAGAGGCGCTGGATTGGCCTGGAGTATACCTGTTGCCAGGCCAGGTTTCTGGGGTGGCTGTAGACCCTAAGAATAACCTGGTGATTTTCCACAGAGGTGACCATGTCTGGGCTGGAAAGTAAGTAGTATTTTTTCTTCAATAAGCAAATGAAAACAAAAATTGTGTACTTTTTTTTATTAAATTAAGAATAATGGTGAGAGAGCTATAAAGATTTTTTAGAATTTGATTTTTATGAGCAAAATATATTGTCCTTTTAATGTCTGACTGTAGTAAGTAGCAGAGAGGAAGTCTTGTGTGTTTTAATACAAAGTAGTTTCACCAAATAGCTTTTGGAAAGAAGTAACAGTCTGTGATTCTACCCACTTACCATCTTCCCTCCTTTGACGTCAGGAAGTGAAGTGATCGTCACTTCCTAAAAAGAATAACATTAAAGATAGTTAAGTCAGTACCTTACTGAAAATGTTCGACTTCAAGAAGAGTGCTCATGATAAGTAATTAACTAAGAAAGGTTAGTGGTTGACTATAACAACACACTTTTGTTATTTTCATATCCTGGGTATAGAACTATGCTAAGGCCATTGTTCTGGACACTGTGGTTGGGGCAATTTGGCCACTACATGTGAAGAAATGGCAACTTGGCCTTTATGTTTCAATATAGACTAATTTTATTACTCAAATTTGTCTTTTCATGAATATCAAAGATTTAAGAATAACTCTAGGACTGTCTATTACTCCTGCTTTATCCTCTGGATTTTCCTTTCCTACCTTCTTAGAGGGATTTTTAGTAAAAATGTTGAAGAGTTATTGAGTGTTTCCTCTGAGTCACCATCATTCAGGTTTTACAGATGTAGAAACCAAGAGAAGTTAAGTCATTGTGCCCAAATTAGCAAGTGGCAAAGCCAGGCTTCAGTTGCTTCGCATCTAACTCCAGAGGTGACTCACTTAGCCACTTTGCAATACTGCTTTTAATAGAATTGTAAGCATGTTCATGATTGTATTTTTAAAAGCTTGCCCCACAATTTAGCAGGTTATTTTAATTCTTTTAGATAATGAATATCCATTTATTCACTTCTTATATTACAAATTTGCACAGGGAGATAAATTTGAAAATCTTTTGTCAATTAAACCTAGTGAATCTTCTCTTTTCATATGTATAACTATGGGGTCTCATTGGAAAATTGAGGATCTACATGTATAGTTCAATTGTTTCTCTCGTTTCAGAGCTGTTCATTGAACCTATGTTTAACCAGGTTCAGTCACATATGCATATATCTAGTTTTCTTTGTGCAGTTGAAGATGGAATTCAATCAGCATTTCAGAATAGATTGGTAGCTTTGTTACTGTTTAATTGTCCTTTCCAGTTGTCACACTTGAAAATGGAATCTGAAAAAGATCACTTCAGAGTTCAAAGTAAATAATCAAACTCAACATTCTCATTCATACATCTCTGTTACATAGTCTTAGTCATTATTGAACATCTACTGGTATTTTAACAAGTGCTTTTAAAAACAAACTTACTATTCATGGTAGCATATTCTTCACTTTAATGAATATTGCTACATTTTCTGCATGGATTTCTAGCCATATTTTACCAGAGGAGAAAATCACAGCATCATTTTCTCCCATTGATACTGTTTCAGCTGGCGAAAGCTAAATTGGACAAAAGCCAATTTTCCATTTTAATATGTTATTCATTCCAAGTAAACAGCAGAGGCTGGAATAGTTTAATAGAAAAATTGACGTATAAAGGCCAGTTTAGGGTGGGAGATGAAATAAGACTATGAAACAGAAACCACCTACGAGCATTTTCTGTTGCATATCTGGCTGTGGTAGCATCTAGGTAACCAGGATCCTATGGAAATAGATTCAGGTTTCATTGCCAAAGCCCCAGAGTATTTACCCTGATAAATGACATCGACTAAAGGGTGTGATTAAGCATGCAAGACGTCTTCAGGGCAAACTGCTGATTTTACTCAATCTCTGTTTCTTCTCTCTTCTTCATCACTCTTTCAGATGTAAAAATATTTTTCCTCTCTCTTTCCTTCTCCCTTCTTGGTATTTATTGCCTGTTGGCCCCTAGAAGATTTGCAAGCCATAGTTGCAAGGAAATTCTTTTCTGGCACTCAGCTCTCTGAGTAGAATTAGAAGTGGATTACTGTGTTATTTTTCAGGAAAATAAATTTGTATTTGTTCAAAGAACAAATTAGATTCAGGCTCTATTCTTTGCATAGTAATGCATGGCCATCATTCCTAAGTCACATTCTATAAATTGGATGAAGTATATAGTTGTCCTTCATTAAAAATCCAAGGCTTATAATAACGAAGAAAAAGTCCCTTCCTGTGGAATTTATGATATACAGGTGAGGGACAATACAAGTTAAAAATTAGGTGGAAACCCTATTCTTCTTGTTACCACTGTTTCATAGTGAGAAATCCTATATTAATTTTCCTTGAAATCTTTCCCATTCTGATATTTCTGAGGTTCACAAAAGCATAGGTTCTGTAGGACCAGGACGTGCTCTAAATCAAATTAAAGCACTCCATATCCCATAGTTCATAAGCTGTGATCATTCTTTAAATATCAAACAGTACTTAAAGTTAATAATAATTCCTGATTAATACTTAGTACTCAAAGCTCCTTCGATATCATTGTATCAGCTTTCTTTATAAATACTACTATTCTTCATTCCCACCTGGTAACCATGATTAGCCCTTATTCTTTGACTTAACCATGCTAAATAAACATGGCAACCAAAATAATGATGATAACCCTCTGTCCTCTTGAAAGATGATAGTCACTCCCTTTCTCAATTTGATTTCCATTTTTCTCCCTTACTTCAGTATTGCTACTTTAACAAGCTTCTCTTCTAGCTGAAATAATAAATGCCTATTGCCAGTAGGGTGTAATGAAACTTTAAAGAGTCTCTTGTCTGCCCTGGTGTTAGGGCAGCATGGCAGCTAGAGCTCTTTAAAGTTGAAATGCCTCCCAGCAGGAACTGGGTAGCTTTTGCCTCAGTAATAGCTGTTCCTAGGTTTTTGTCTTAAAATCACCACCACGCTCAAGTGGTTCTTGGCCTTTCTTTCATGTATCTGAGCTATAGTTGGGGTGTACCATGCAGAACTCAAATCATATACCCACTTAGCTAAGCTATGGGTCTTGCCCCTAACTTTTAGATATTAGAAGTTGTATTTCCTATTTTGTTTATCATTTCTTCACATGGAGTTTGAAGGGATCTTGGAAGTAGTGTCACTTCAGATTCTTTCTGTTACACATGAGAGAGAAAACTCAATACAAACTAATTTAGGAACAGAGGAAATTAGTTTGTATAAGTGGAAATTTCAAGGGATATAGTAGCCCAATGACATCATTAGAATCTATTTCACAGCTCATTTTTCTGTAGAGTGGCTCCATTCACAGTCCCTGAGTCATTTCTGTCGCTCCTCTCCATTTGCAGATTCAGTTCACATTGTCATCCTAATGTCACAGAAGAGATAGTCTATATGCCTAATAAGTCAACATAAACTCACTAAAATCAGTCTTTACAGCATTCCTTGGTCTGACCTAGATTATGTCTCATTGTCCATTAAACCAATTATTTTGGGCAGAGAAATACAATTGAGCCTTTGGTTTAGCCTGAGTCTTTTCTTCTACCCACAGAATGTGGGAGTACAGTCAACATCATCTGAAGCTGTGGACTGAGAGTGGAGCTCAGAATGGTGGCTCAACTAAAAAAGTTGAGGTTTTATTAGCACAAAATGGAACAATAAACACTGTACTCCCAAAACAGCAAGTGTCCATCAGGGAGCTTATCTCCAGCCTCCCAACTAATGTACACATCTCTGCTGCAGCACCTTCAATCACCATGCAGTGCTTTAATTTTTTTCAATGCCAAGAAATTCCCTAGATATGAGACATGCTTTCCAATTATGGAACTTATCTAGATGTTATAAAGTTCTTCATTATTTTACCTAAATATGAGTCCTATAACTTCACCTTATAGTAATGCAGGATGAATTCATTCCCATTTATCCATGTCATTTATTTGCATATTTGAAGAAAGAACTGAATATTCTCCAAGCTCTCAACCAATCTTCATGCTGACATGATTTATTTCAACTGAAGGAATTTTGGTTTCTCTCCCTTTAAAGTCACAATACCTCACATGTTATTTGATTAGTGTTGTAATTAATTCTTTTGATTACACGTGTATTCTACATTTCTGTTGGTATAAGAGAATTGTATTCACTTATTTTTTAGCAGTTATATCACTGTGTTGCCTTATGTGGAATTTGTAATCTACAAAAATCTTCAAATGTGTGTCAAAAATTGTGCTGATATTTTTACTGGAAGTTTATGCTTATGCACTGTTTTAAAAATATTGAATTCAGGGATTTATTCCAATTAGGTTTCACTTTATTAGATTTAACATTGTTTCAATTTACAGGTATTATCTTAACTTGAATTAGCTAAAGAATTTGTATTAGATCTCCCAGCTTTGTGTTGGGTCTCCCAGCTTTGTATTGTATTTGATAAGCATGCCTTTTATATCTTCATAGATGCTGTTTATAAAATTTGAATAGTTGAATGGTTGGTTTTGCAAGTTTTGTTTGTAGAGAACTCATAGCCCACTAGGAATCTTCTTCCCTCCTCCCCCCAGATAGCTCACAAACCATCTCTTTATCAACACTTTGTGGAATTTTGCCAATATCTATTGTTTTATAAATCCATCTGCTCCCTAACTTGTAGAAAAGTCAGTCCAAGATTTGCTTCACTAGTTTTCTGGAGCCTCAGTTAAGATATCTGCCTGGGTTCTGCTTCAACATCTGCAATGTCTTTCATAACTTAGGATTTAACTGGCCCTGGAGTACAGAACTCAAAAGTGTCTGTTACTTTAGTACCTTCATGTCTGAGGGAAAACCATGAGGAGTTCTGCAACAAAGACTGTTTCGGTCCTGCCTCTCTTTCATATTACCATTTCACACTTTACTGGAGCCTTTCTCTTCCAGTTTTATGCTAGTTTCTCTAATTCTTCTTGGTTATGTGACTATTATTTCATCTCTTCTACTATACACATTGAGTAGGAGATTTACCAATTCAGTCAAGTCAATCCAAGTAA